CCAGTCCAAACTCTTGATTGAAATGAATCAAGAAAATTATTCTTGAGAGAAGAGACTTTCGGATTTCTCTCCAATTGATCAGTTACTGTATTTCATTCTCTAGTGATCTTCACCCCAGGCTTGTCAGTTACCACAGTACAATCTCCCTTTTTAATGTTTCTGCTCAGTATTATTCATTCTTCAGTGCTTTAGGAGATATATTGCCAAATTTTGCAGACTCAGAGGATTGAAATGGATACAAGAACAAGTGGGGGGGGGATCCTTTCAAAGTGCTATTTTGGGAGTTGCAGGAAAGTGAATGTCAATAAAAGGAGCATTGAGATATTTGTGCAACAGGGTGTGATTTGATCACTCCATCTATTCAAATGCATTTCTATGAGCTTAATTTATGTGGGCAAAAGACATAGAAAGTGCATGAATGGAATCTGTGCTCCTTGATTAATTCCCAGCTCTCCTAGGTTACTCCATGCATCAGTGCATACCTACCCATAACTTCCAAAATTTCTATCAAGACTCAAAAGGGAATATAAAATTATTCTGTGTCAGAGAGAGAAGCAGGATTGTCTTCAGGGGAAGAAGAAATTTAAAAAGGCTGTCATGATACAAAACTGTCACTTATATCAATAACAACTGTGAGTCTTGGAGACCTTCTTACAAAATAGGTACAGGTAATCCTCAACTTACAACTGGTCCTTGCACATACAACTGTCCCAGCAACCCCATGGTCGCATGATCAAAATTTGGGTGCTTGGCAACTGGGATGTACAGTATTTATAATGGTTGCAGCATCTCAGGGATAGGTAATCACCATTTATGAACTTTCCAGCGGTCCTCCGATAAGCATAGTCAATGGGGGGAGCGGGATTTGCTTAATAACCACTTAATTCACTTAACAATTGCAGTGATTCTTGTAACAAAGGTCGAAAAATGGGGCAAGGCTCACTTAACAACAGCTTTGCTTAAAAACAGAAAATCTAGTCCTAATATTGGTTGTAAGTCTAGGACTACCTTCATAGCAAGATGTAGCAGTGCAGGATTTGGGAAATGAAGGGAGCATTCTGGGATGCTTAGAGGGGTGGTGGGGATGACAACTGCTTTGCCTGCAGAACATGAAGAAAAGATGTAGTATTGTGTGTCTGTGTGTTATGTTTGGTTTGTTTGTTTGTTTGGTTTGGTGCACTTAAGGAAAATGGCAGTGGTTTTTCCTGCTGGGGGGAGAGAAAAAAGAAGCCTACAAATCTTGAAGCCTGCCATCTTCAATCTGTTCTGAATTAAATCTGTTAAGAAAGAACCGTTCTCTGTGCTTGTTGCTGAAGCAGAATTCAGCTCAATCATGGGAGCAGCATAATATAAATTCTACACGGGCGTTCTTTTCTGCCAACTCATAGACAGTGGGAATGCATGTTAATGCAACAAGTGGAAATCAGCTGGATGGTTTTTTTTATAGTGTTGCTACAGTAATTGCATATCCATTCTTCCAAAGAGCTCGGTTGATTGGGCCAGTTGGCCTTCCTACTTTCCTTTGTCTGTTTTAGACTTCTATCCTCACTCTTTGCAACTGTTTCACAGCTTATGATTATTCCATTTTCCGGGGCTCATTTCTTCTGACTTATGGATGCCTGCCTTCCTTACTTCCTGGATTCACACTATTTTGAATGGTAATTAACATTTGCTGACTTGATTTCTGCATCTCCAGAGCCTACTTCAGACAGAACCCACTGCTTATGTGATCCTTCTGTTTGGTGAAAATGTGGACATCTATGCTTCTCTGAGCATCTATCATGAGGACATATCATGGGGAATGCATCCATATTTCGACACTGAACCACTGTCTGGAAATGAATGAATCAGAAGCTTGAATAAAATGCATCCAAATCACAGATTCCCTACTGTTGACATTGCAGTCCATGGAACTTAATGTCAAAAAAAAAGCAGCTCTTTGAGATTGATTCCCATTATAGGCACTTCATTTAATGACACACCAAATCTCTATCTAGAATATAACATCCATGGTAGTAATTTCCAGCCATGAACTCACAGAGATTATTGCAGTTTTAACTTGTATGTGTAATTTGAAATGGTGACTTTAAAGTAATTCATGATGATAGCTTGTGACTTGAAAAACATTTAGAGTTGATTGGCTAAAGTTAGGCTAAAAAAATCTGCAAAAAACAATATTCTATTGAAACTTGACAGAAAAAGAAATCTCTATTAAAAAGTAGTAATGAGTAACTTTCTTGCTTGAAGGATCAATATATATATATTGTTAATTCAGTTTGAAAATGCTCTTTGTGTTCTTTAATTTGTACATTTGAGTTATCTAAATTCAGGGCTGGATCTACCTGAAGTAGTGATAAATAGAAATGGAAGGAAAGGATTGGAAATCTATTTGTTCTTGTCTCTTTAAGTATAGAGAGTTTTGTTGTTAATACCATGTATTTCAAATGATAATTTGGGCAGGGCAGGTTAAAAAACTATTGGTTATGAAAATGAAGTCAGACAGCAGTGTCCATAGGTGTGCTTATGCAGAATGGCTCAGTCTGATAAAAACAGTGTCGCTTTGACATGATATAAGCCCTACTCATTTGTAACAGGCATTGTGATGTTGCGGCAGTGGAAAGCATAAACAGACATTAAATCTGTTTAATCGGTAGAGCCTTGTAAGTCCAATGGGACAGAGACGAAGCCTATACTTTGTACATACATACAGTATATACCAATTCTGTTTCTGTGCGCTCTCTCTCTCTCTCTCTCTCTCTCTCTCTCTCCTTTTATCTAATCTACAATAATATCTATATATTGTACCTGCTATAGAAAGGGTCCCCAGCCCCTGGGCTGCGGTCTCGTACTGGGCTGCGGCCCGTTGGTAACTGGGCTGTGCAAGCAGCGTGCGAGTGTGTGAGAGCACAAAGCTCCATTTGTGCAAGCAGCAGACACATGCATGAAACCTTCCCCCTCTTGCCTCGCCCACTGCCACTGCCGATCCACAGAACCAGAAAGGTTGGGAACCACTATGATATAGGATATTTTTGTTGCTACTTCCTTTTCTATTTCTCTTCTTTTACATTAAACATGGCTATTAGACTATTATTGTAATCTCTTGTATCGGGAAACAGTAATATTTCTCCATAACTTTGGCTCAATTATTTTCAACAATATTTATTGTTACGATGGGTGGATGACAGAAGTTCCTACTGATTGGGAATTGGTAAAGCCAGAGAGTATTTTTTTTGGGGGGGGGGTATTAAAGCTTGTTTGTAAGGTAGAACACTCTGTATGTATGTTTCTGTGTGTCTTTGCATGTGTGTGTATGGTATGTCTTCATGGAGGTGAACAGAAGTAATCTTCTACAAAGTGAAGTTCTAAGTTTCTGACTCTCCTAACTTCTTCTTTGCTGGCATGGAATTATCTACCTGTATTTCTAAATGACATGGGAAGAACATTCTAGAGTTAATTTGTCAGCTATGTTATACATGGGAGGTTTGGTCCAGGAAACACCTCAGTTGCTCCTGCCTTCTATTATTTGCTGCATTTTAATAGGGAAAGACTTGAGACATTCATGGATAGTAGGTGCTATGGTGTGGGATTTCAGGGGTGGTTAAATTATGTAGACTTTTTTAGAGATGTTATAGAACTAAATGTCTGCCTTTGCAGTAAAGATGGCAAAATTGTAGCATAAGACTGACTCAGCCTTGGAAATACATTGCTCAAGAAACAAACGCAGAGACTTCCTTCAAATCTCAAATTTAGGATCTCCAGGTTTCAACTCAGAGGCACATCTCTTCCTTCTAAAGCTGAAGAGACAAAAGTGAAGCCTCTGTCCATATTTTCCTAGTCCAGTTCCATCTTTTCCTCCTTCTTTGGCTTTCTAACAGAGCAATAGAAGAAGCCGTAAGTTATACAATCTGATCACACATTTTGAATTAAAGGCAGAAACTCTAAGTTGCAACCCTGGAAGTTAAACAAAAAAGGAAGCAGGCTTACTGTTTTATAATTAATTTCTTAATTAGTAATAAACATTATGAATGCGAGCAGTGCAGTGGCCTAGAGGTGGAGCTCTCACCTCACAATCAGGAGGCTGTGAGTTCAATCCTAGGTAGTGGCAGATATTTCTCTCTCTGGGCGCAATGAGTTATTATTTGCTGTGAACTCCATATAGGCATCAGGAAGAGCATCCAGCCAGTAAATGCTCAGCTCCATTCAGTTGCCCTAACTCCATCCCAATGCAAGGGATTACAGGGTTGTTAAAAGAAAAAAAATGAATGCATTCTTATTTCTAACTAATTAATATTATTAATGTATTCAACTTATTCAGATCTCATCTTTACACTCAGTTTAAGGATCACAGTCTACCAAGCTAAGAGATTGTCACTTATTATTTTAAAAAAATGGCAAAGATAGTGGAAAATTCTATTTTGCATTCAGGATTTGCTTCTTGGGCAACTATTCTGGAAAACTACATTTGTAATATTAAGGATATATTTAAAAGAACAAGTTATGCTTTAATATAGTACAAAATTTGAGCTTGGTAAAATTGCAATCATTTATTGATTAAAATGTTAATTAAAATTGTTCACTTCATGCTTCTTGTACCTTATTGACCAGTGAAGCTATAATGAGAACTACAGAAATGGAATTCATAGTCTGAAATCATTTGCAAAACAGCCATTTTGTATTAAGTGTACTTAAAAGTCAATGGAAATATGTTACATAAATACAATATTTATGAAATAATTGATTGAGATGAAACAAGAGTTCTGCAGAGACCTAACTGATGCTGAATTAAAAATATGACATCTTAGGAGGAAAAAACCCTGTTTATTTGCTTTTCAGTAGTCATGTACTTTGCAGAATAAGAACATGTTTTTCATTTGGAATGTGACAATCAGATTTTCAAATTTTTGGCAAGATCAGCACAAATGCTAAGTACATTAATTATGGATCTAGTTGTTTCAGAAATAGTCTTCTTTTATTTAAACTGAGCTTTTTTCTTCTTCCAGAAAATTTTTCTGAGTGCTGCAAATGAGGAAGAAATATTTTCACACCTGGGCTTGGATTACCTTGAACCCTGGGAAAGAAATGCCTAAAGAAATTTTTAATAAGGTTACATCATTTCACTGTTTCAAAGCAAAGTTTTACTTACCTGAAAAGCATATCTTTATTATTAGTTAGGGAGAAAGATCTTAAATACATTGTGAATATTTGTTGTAGGTGTGGATTTCCTTAGAATAGTTGGCAATTGATATTTTGAAATGTTTCTTTTGTTCTAATTTCCTGCTCCTGTGACAACCACACAATCAAAAGGAAGGGATTGGCAGGAAGTCATAATGAGACTGCTAAATCATGCAGATAACATATTTTAAAATGAATGTCTGTGGAGTGACTTTCAACCTGGCACCCTCCAGATTAACTTCCAGATGCAGCTTTTAGAATTCCTGCCCTCTAAGGCATATCTGGAAGGCCCAAATAATAGAACTCTATCCTACTGCATTTTCAGCTTATTAATGTTTAATGTTTTCTTGTTTTCAGTTTTAATAATTAGTCGAACAAGAAAAAAAATCTGTCATTATGCAAAAATAATTAATACCCAGAAATACTCTAATTTTAACTATTCCAAATATCTTTATGCAAACCAATATACAAAAAAGAACTCATGGTTTGCTACCATAATATAAATGCTACCATTTCGTAAAAAGATTAGTTTGGTTAATGGAACTTTTGCTAATTTGAAAGTTATATACTAACTTTTCTATAAATGCAGTGGTCCAAATCCTCCCCCTTTCTGTCTCTGTTTCTCTGTTTCTGTAAGCAATTCTTTTATTACAGAATGGATGCTTGAACTTATTTATTTCAGAAAGGCTGAGTACAGTACGAGAGACCTTTTGTCATAGTGAAATATGATAAATGCAGGTGATTTTATTCAGAGATAAACCTGGTCAATATTAAATTATAAAGCTGATTGATCATGCTGATTAGCTCAGACATGTAACAAATTGATTGACTTCTATTCCTAGCACAGTATTGTTCTTTTCCAGGACTTGCTTATGGATCTGTCACAGGGGCATCATCAGGGAAAGTCAATCAAGATGGCATCTACAACCACATTATCAACCCTGCAACCATTCAAAACTAACTTTGTTGCACATGTTGATGTCACATGCGTGGACAAAGGGGCATGTTAACCACAGGGTCCTGGCTATCCTCTTGACGTCTTTGACTCTTCTGCAAACATGGCTGTTGCCAATTGCTTTCACTCTTCCCCCCACTCCTCCTTCATGGACATTCATGCCCAAGGTGGAAACATAGTTTGGCAGAATAAAAAATATAGTGGACAAAAATTCAAGATCATGCCTGCAACCATGCAATTGAAGTTCTAGCACTTTGCATGCATCTAGATGCAAAAAAAAAAAAAAAAAAAGGATTGAGGGTGTTGATTTTGTGGGGATGTGATTACTGTCTCAAAATTTTGACTAGTTCCTTTGTTCAATCTTTCATATAACCCAACCGAAGAACCTATGGCTGGCTGGGGAATTCTGGGAGTTGAAGTCCACGTGTCCTAAAGTTGCCAAGGTTGGGAAACCCGGATATACACCAATAGAATATCATAATAAGTTATGATCTGAATCATCATTCAAATCTAAATTTGAATGCAAAACAGTTTTTAAAATTAGGGATAAGTCCAAGAAAGATCAACAACAACAAGAAAATCACAGTTTACTGAGATACATATTGACAGCCTTGAGGGTAAACTTAGCACAACATTGGAAAAGGGATGTGTCACCATTGAGGACGTAAACTTGGAGATTAGGCAGCAATGACAAAATTAACAGCATATATTCATAATAGAGGTTTGGCCAAATTTAATCAGGAATGGTGTCCATGTACATTATATATTATCCAGCATGGCAAACTGAAACATATGGAGCATAGTTTTAAAGGGGAAAAATAATTGGCTAAAGAAGTAAAATTAGAAATATATGAAAATGTTGAATATTTTTAAATATTGAACATCAGGAGTATAACGAAGAAGTTAGAATACATTCACTCAATAGTACTTTTACTAGCTTTTTTTTCCTTTCCTTCCTCTTTTTTTAAAAAGAGATTTATCTTTAAATAATAAAATAGTGGACACATTGGTATTCAGCGAAAATCCTTTCGCTTTTTGTTAAAAAGAACTTAACATATTCTGCTTTTTATAGTTAATCCTTCATCTATGATATATACTGAGTACTAACTGTACAACTTTTCAATTCTCTGTCCTCCTACTGATATTATATATGTCATGCCTCCATTGGAGCCTGAATCTGCAGAGGAAAATGAGCTGGAACGGGACCCTATGGAGGTTGAGGGAGAGGTGTCTGTGGCTTCAGAGGAATGTGGGGAAGAGCAGGCAGAGGCAGGCCAGGGCCCTTCAGGAGTGGGACAGGAGGAACAGGAGAGACAGAGTTCAGGTGATGAGCAAGAGCTACCCCCACCTGATCCTAGATCACGGAGAGTGGAGAGAAGGAGGGAACAACGCAAGCAGGCTCAACTACTTGGGAGGAGAGCATCCTGCCCCTCTCCACAAGGCACACCCGGGGAATGAGATTTAAGGAGACGCTGTGGGGAGAGGCATTTGTCGGGAACAAACGCTGATTCCTTGGAGTTTTGTGTGTGTTGTTGCTGATCTCTTGTTCTGTGACTTCTGCTTGGAAACCAGAAACTCTGACCATTGGATTGGCTGACAATGTTGCTTGGATGTTTAAAGAACTTGGACTGTATTTTAGCTTCCCTTCTGAAACTGCTCAGGCAAGCGTGTATTCACACAGACTCGTTACGTTTATGATGTATGTGTCATTCTTTCTTATCTCTGTGGCCTTGAGTAAATTCATCTCCTAATCAAACTGTATGTGAAACTACTTGCAGCCAGAGGTATGTGTGTCTTCCTTTGTTTGGAGGCTTGGCAGAAATGTGGGAGCATTTGGGGAAAATTTGGAGCAATTAAAGGGCAGTTTGAATTGCCAGCTGACTGCATTCCCTCTGTGCTGTGCCTTGGGTCATCACAATATATTTGTATTATTATTATTTTTCTTTTATAGGATTATAGTTCTGAGAAGTAAAGATTATGTTTAACCTGATGCCAAAGATTCTTGTTTGTATATTCTATTGGATCAGACCCTAAAGGATTAGCATACAGTAGTAAGTGGTTTTATTAAAGAAGGCAAAGAGCTGATATTTGATCCCGATATTAGGATTTAGATAAGCTTAGTTTAAACATAATGTCTATATCTGTTTTTGGAGCTATTACTTTTGATTATTTCAGCTCTGAAGAAGTTGATTAATTTTTTTTATAGAATTAAAAACAATATGGAATTAACTCTGAATACTTTTTTGACATCATGTTCAATTTAAGAATTTGTTATTTAATTTATCTGTCCTATATGAAATTGTTCCTTCTAATGTTTCACAAAGTTTTAAGTTTTGGCAGTCCTTAAACTAATATTTTTTCTTTATAAAAAGCTGGATAGATGTATATTATTTATTAATGGCCCATGATATAACAAGCATGAATATCCTGTTTTGGTAAATCAAATGATGGTTGCTTGCTGAAGTTGATATAATTCAGGACTTGGAACATTAACCCATATATAGCTTAGTTTTACCCTATTATATTTGCATTTTGTGCTGATCTCAACAATTGTTAATATACCTCTGCATCAATCCCTGTATGTTGAGAGCATATATCTTATTTTTAGCTGTGTTCCCAATATTGGAATCTATAATTAGATATTAAGGATTATGAATTTTTCAGGCCAGGGTGTTGTCTAACAACATTGTTTAAGCATCAGATGGAAGGTGAGATGCATACCTGATTTACAGCTGTAGATTGTTGCTATGCATTGTGTATCAAAGTTTGAGTTAATCACTTTTCAAATGAGAGACAAAGATATATGAGTAATATGGTCAATTTGGGAACTGTTCAGTTTATAAAGAGTTTTTTTTAAACTATTTGCATTGCTATAATTGATTTTGTAGCTATATCGATCCTGTAATGCTGATCTATGAATGCAGACTTAAAATAATAGTGTACATAATACAGGTAGTCTTCATTTATTGCCATTCGCAATTACAATGATGATGATGAAAAGTAATTTTGTGACCAATCCTCCCACTTGTGACAGGTCTGTAAAGCAAACATGAAGTAAGATCATAAGCACAGTCACAGTTTCTCTTAGTGACCACTTCATTTAATGATTGAGTTGCCAGTCACAATTGTGGAGGTTGAACAAGGACTGCCTGTGAAATAAAAATAAAAATGCAAATACTCCTCAAAATCATAGTATGCTTATTGCATGTCTTAATATTGGTGCTGAAGGAAATCCTTTTTTAAAAAAACAAACCTGGATCAAAGGCTTTATTTTATCCTCCAAAATATCAAGTTACCCAACAATTCTTGTAATATCATTTAAACTGATGGACCAGGGAGCCTCTGATGAGCTACCAAGTCCATTTTCTTATTATCTAGTTGCAGTTATTGTCTGGTAAGAATTATAGGACATATGGGCCTCTACCCACTGATTTATTCCCAGTACTAACAACATTCATATTTAACAATTCCATGGCAACCCTACTTTTTCAGAGATTTCACATACGCAAAACATCAAAAACAAACAGCTCGAACAAAAGGACGATTTGGAATATGGCTTTGAAGGTAATTTTTACACACAGCTTTTCTTTCTTTCTTTCTTAAAGAACAGCTCTAAAAAAGAAATGTGTGTTAATAAACACGACTGTCAAAAATGCCTTCCAGTACATATTTCTTTATGCCAGCATCAGACTTTAATGTATTAAAAGAGATAAGGAAAACCTGGTGTACTTTTGTGAAATGTAACCCCATTTTAACGAATAAAATGTTCCTGAAGCTCTCTCGTATCAATGAGAAATATGCCAGTTAAAATAGGGCAAATATAAAGCACGCTTTGCCTGATACACTTTTCAATGAATATGGCCAAGAAATTGAATTGAAAAGAAATGAAGGAGAGCGGTGATTTAATCAATGTATTACATAAATAAAGGAACCAGTAATAGTTTGGGTAAATACAATTGCTATGTTCAGATTCATCTGAATTATTCAGACTGAGGATGTAAAGAATTATGGCCGTGTCTTAAGTCAAGTTTTATCTCCGTGTACTACAGTGTTCAGTTTTGAACTTGACACTGGAACATAATTATGTCCTGTTGAATTAGATTAATTAGAGTCAGGTATCAAAATGCCACTTTTGATTGTGAAAATGTTTCCATAATTAATTTATGCAAATGCAATTAAGCTAAACTATTGTAAGCTGTTTACTCCTGAGAAGCTTGATTTTATTATTTTTTTCAGAATTGGAATATCTCACCTGCAGGCTGCTTCAGGTTAGCTGCCTCAGGAAAAAGGGAATGCTGTAGAGAAACTGACATCTATCCTGGGAATCACAGAGAAACAGCCTTATGCTTTTTCCCTTTATTAACTCACCCCGACTTCACAATAGATGAAGACACTCATTGTTGTTCAGAATTAACAGCCATTATTAGTTCCATAGATTCACTGCTCCAAATAATCTGGGCTGTTGCAAGAAGTTTTCTTGGTGGAACCAAATGAAGAGGCAATGATGAACCAAGCTTTGTACCATCACAATGCAGTACTGACTTTTTTTGTAAGAGTCTCGTAATGTCATGCACATGTGAAATGGGGATGAAATTTGCATTACGATGGCACAAAGCCGCTTTCAGATTCTCTGGATCTAGTCCAGTGGTGGCGAACCTATGGCACGCGTGCCACAGGCGGCACGCAGAGCCGTTCCTGTGGGCACGCACGCCATTTCTGTGCTCCTCCCCCTCCCCCTCTCCACGCATGCGCAGTCCGGGAACAGCTGCAAGAGCTGGGCGGGGTGAGGGAACGTATAAAAGGAGCAGTTTTGGCGGGAGAGTGAGTGAAATCAGAGCCGCCATCTCCCTTCCGCAGTGCAGCCCCATCGGCTTGAGCGGAGACAGCCCCGGGACAGCCGGAAAGGAGCCCTCACCTGGTGCAGGT